GACCGGGCAGCGTTTCGTCCTGTTGTACATGGGGTTGCTGTGAGATGAGCCTGTGCGATGGCACCTAACAACAGTATAAATCACACTCATTGCGCACAGTTTTTTGTCAAAGTTTACACAGCAAATTAGGTTCCCATTTGACAATTTCTATACAAGTTGTTCAGTGACATTAGTTACATTTTTCACAACATGTCAGCCTTCTCTTTAATTGTGTTCTGGTTGTTCCATTTCCAGTGCTCTAGTTTCCCTCCCCTCTTATCTTCTCATCTTTGCTTTTGAGTAATTGTTGACCTTTTGGTCTCAGACTAATGGTTTTTAAGTAGGGCACCAATCTTACGGGTAATAGCCTTTATTTTGTGTGCTGCTCTGCCAGTTTGCTGAAAGGTGATCTCGGGATAGGCTCGGTTCTAGGTTTAAAGAGTGTCTGAGGGCAATAGTCTCAGGGAGTCCTTTGTTCTCTACTGTTACAGTTTGTCTGGCTTTTTTTTTTTTTAAGAATTTGAGTTCTGCTTCATGTTTTCCTTCCATTCTATCCAAAACCATCTATTGGGACCCCGGTCAAACAGTCAGTGGTGGTAGCCAGGCACCATCTGGTTCTTCTGGTCTCAGGGTAGATGAGGTCGTGGCTCGTGTAGACTTGTTTCTTCTCCGAGCTTTGGGTTACCTTCGTGATGTTTTGCTTCTGGCGAGTAGAGTCCCATAGTTGTGTCTTAGATGGCTACTTGCAAGTTTTTAAGACTCCAGATGCTGCTCACTTCACTAGGACGCAGATCATGATTTTTGTGAACTATGTTATGCTAGTTGACTGAGTTGTCCCATGAGACTATAGTTCTGAGCTTTCAGACCCAGAAAACCAATCCTGGAAGTTATTTGGTTATATCTGAGGAGTATCTGTATTTGTGCTTCAACAAGTATATGTGCCTGCACCCACATATTTGTATTTACACGTAGTGGCACAGTGGTTAAGGGCTCGGCTGCTAAGCAGAAGGTCAGCAGTTTGAATCCACCAGCTGCTTCTTGGAAACTAGATGGGGCAGTTCTGCCCTGTCCTATAGGGTCGCTATAAGTTGAAATCTACTCGTTGGCAGTGGGTTTGGGTTTTTTTGGAGTTTTTTTTAATAGATACTTCTGTCTTGTCACCTACGTACACACCTGTTCCTACCCGTATACCGGTATGCCTATACCCATCCGTATGTGCTCACTCATTTTTACTTTGGTTGTGCTGTGCTCACTACATTCACATTCGATGCCACTTTTCCCATCACCAAAAATAACAAGTCTCTACTGTCTAAAGCGTACTTTCTCTTCCCCCTCCTCTCCCTGGTAACCACCAGTGAACATGTTACCAGGAGGGACCAGTCCCTGAAGAAGGACATCATGTTTGGTAAAGTAGAGGGTCAGCAAAAAAGAGGAAGACCCTTAACGAGATGGATTGACACAGTGGTTGCAACAATGGACTCAAACATAGCAGTGATTGTGAGGATGGTACAGGACCGGGCAGTGTTCCGTTTTGTTGTATGTAGGGTTGCTGTGAGTCAGAACCAGCTTGATGACACCTAACAACAACAACATACTATACTTAAGAAAACTCAGTTGACATCGAGTTGACCCCGACTCATGGCAACCCCATGTGTGTCAGAGTAGAACTGCTCTCCATAGGGTTCTCAGTGGCTATTTTTTTGGAAGTAGATCACCAAGTCTTCCCTCCAAGGGGCCCCTGAGTAGACTTCAACCTCCAACCTTTTGATTAGCAGCCCAGTGTGTTAACCATTTGCACCACCCAGGGACTCTACACACTATAATATCGTTGTTGGGTGCTGTTGAGTCAATTTTCAACTCATAGTGACCCCATGTGACAGAGTAGAACTGTCCCATAGTGTTTTCTAGGCTGTAATCTTTAAGGGAGCAAATCACCAGGCCTTTCTCCCACAGAACCGCTGAGCAGGTTTGAACTGCCAACCTGTTGGTTAGCAGCTGAATGCTGAACCAGGACTCCTACTAGGCATTAAAAGTAGGACACACAAAATGTAAGAATGGTGTGGCGGCAGCATTGTCCAACCTCCTCGTCTCACTTCCCAAGGGGGAGGAGAGAAAATCACCATCAACATCAGCCCAAGACTGATCCCTATGAGGTGGAGGTCAAACGTACCCCCACCCTCTAGTCTTTTTACCAATTTTGACACCAGGTGTCCTTTCCATGGCACTCTACTTCTCTGTTGGGTTCAATAACTTGTTGCAGTGGCCCCACAGAACTCACAGACCATACTCACAATTATGGGGTTTATTAGGGAAGTGACAGGTTACAATTCAGGATCAGTTCTTCGGTCTGGATAGCTTCTTGGCTGTGCCCACAGGCAGGCCTCTCCCTTGGCTCCTGCACCCTTTAGGCTGGCCTCTGCCCTGCTTGAGCAAGGGTTACAAAGCTTTTTAACTCCCCAGTAAGTGCCTAGAGGCACCTCACTCGGCCAGGAAGCCTCCTGCACAAAGGTGCTCAGCTCTCTTGCTCCGTGGGTGGCAAACCTACTATAACTGCCTTGTCCCATGGGCTGAGAAGCCCACCACACCATCTTGTGCTGGTCTTCTGGTTCTGCTTCTCTCCACTTCTGTGTCATTGCTTCTTGCCATCTCCAGTGTTAAAGCTCTCATTCTCTTTCCTGGGTCTAGGAGGTTTTCAGCACAGGAACCTCGGGTCCAAAGGATGCACTCCACTCCTGGCTCTTCTTCTCGATGGTAGTGAGATCCCCCCTCTGCTCTGGAATTGGCTCTCTTTTAAGCCTAGTGGGATGGCAAAACTGACCAATCCCCTTGCTAGGGTTCCATACATCTTATTTGCATGGTCTCATCCCTAAAGTGGTTCCATGCACCTTATATGCATTATTAGCAGGCACCTTGTTTGCATTATTAGCAGGCTGTCCAATCCCCTTGGTGGGCCACAAGCACTTCATTTGCATAGTCACACCGAGTCACTGTGAGAGTTGCAAGACCACTCATGGCTAAAAGGGCCAAATTAAGTAATTTGCCACACTGCGCGAAACAACCAAGAACCCCAGAGACCTGATCTGCTGACTGGCTTACTCTGGTGGCTGCAGAGACAGGACAGTGCCTTCCCAGTCCACTGGCTATCACAGAAACTGTCTTCAGCCCACAGGCTCTCGGCCTTGATTTTTCTCATCCCTAAGAGACGATAGACGTGTGTATGTATTTCTTGCGGCTCGGGCGCATGTGTGTAGACGCAAATGGGGCTGCTCATGTCCTTACCTCTGCCACTCTTCACCTCACCGTTACGCAGGTCACCTGGACACTCAGAGATAGGACAGTCAGAATCCCGCGGGCAAAGAGGCCGCCAGCTGTCTGCTCCTGTGTCCCCTCAGCCAGTCCCAGTAAATGGGGCGAGAGGGAAATGGTCATCTTTAGCTGTCATGTCTGAGAACTGCCCCTCTGAGGCTTGGTGGCTGTGGGGTCCTGAGCGTGTTGGTGCCACATCACTGGAATTTATAGGCCAAGATTGGGCCCGTGGCCTCTGTCAGGCCCTCTGTGTGTGGAGGTCAGCCATTCTGATGGCAAAGGCCTTGCGCGTGGCTCATTTTGTGAGCACACGCCCTTTGTGACTGGCGATGACATCACTGACTGCCGTGACTGCCGGAAGTGTATTTTAGCTACTGATTTTTATTGACTCAGGAGTCCCCGGGTGGTGTAAATGGTTAATGCGCTCGGCTACTAACTGAAAGGTTGGAGGTTCAGGTTCACCCAAGGGCCCCGCAGAAGAAAAGCCTGGCAGTCTACTTCCCAAAGATCAGCCACTGAAAACCCTATGGAGCATAGTTCTACTCTGACACACATGGGATTGCCATGAGTTGGAGTCGACTCGACGGCAATTGGTTACTGGTTTCTTGCTTAAAAGTGCCACATTAGTGCATGTTCCCTGAAAAGGCGTGATGCAGAGCAGAAGGTGTGGTCTTCTGTCCCCTCCTCACCTGTCCCAGCTTCTCTAGTAGCGCTCAGTGTGCGTCCTCCCAGACCTTCCTGTGTCCTCACAGCTCGTGTTGTACACGTCCACGTGCGTGCACTTACCTGCAAAATGGGACTTAGAAAATGCACGTGACTTTTTGTTTTAATTTTATTGTGGTAAAATGTATATAACCAAAAATTGCCATTTTAACCATTTTAACCGTTTTCAAGTGTAGGTGCGGTGACAGTCACGTTCACCATGCTGTGTAACCACCACTGCTATCCATTTCCAGAGGTTTTCATCATCCCAGGCAGAAACTCAGTTTCAGCTTGGTTTTTTCCTGACGAATATTTTGTGACTGTCTTTTTCTATCAGCCTGTCCAGGTCTGTGATTTGCTTTAACAGTCCGTGGCGTTTCATAAACTCAGATGGTGCCATGAACTGTTGCTGGTTGCTGTCGAGGCAATTCCAACTCATGGCGACCCCGCGTGTGTCAGAGTAGACCTGCTCCGTAGGATTTTCAGTGGCTGATTTTTTGCAAGTAGATCTCCAGGTTTTTCTTCCAAGGTGCCTGTGGGTGGACTCGAACCACCAACCTTTCAGTTAGCAGCTGGGTGCGTGAACCGTTCCACCACCGAGGGACTTGTTGCCGCTTTATTTTTTTTCTCTCGCTGCAGTTGGCGTTTTCTGATTTCCAGTCCACAGGGTGAGTTAGGCGCCCCCTCTGTTCCTTGAGACAGGCCCTGTCCTGGAAGGAGCTGGCTGAGCCCACTGAAACAGGGCTGTGTTCTCAGAAAGGGCGCACAGGCCCACGGAGGCCCATGAATTCCCCTGGGGACCAGGTGAGGTCCCACACAAGCTCAGGTGACCCAACGTCCACAAGGTCTGGGTTGGCCTGGCCGGAGCAGAGAGTGGCAGGGGCAGTATGCAGGTCAGTGTGCTGCCAGCCCCCCTGAAAACGGGGGCTTCTTAGGGCTGGGCCCCTCAACCTCCAGAGCTCCCACTGGGCTGTGTGGGGCCTCGTAATTGACAGCTGTGTTTTCTTTAACAGGAAACTACTTTGCCTCACACTTTTTCATGGGTGGTGAGAAATTCGACACCCCTCACCCTGAAGGCTACCTCTTTGGTGAGAACATGGACCTGAACTTCCTGGGCAACCGCCCGGTCCAGGTGAGCTGGGGCAGGGCCAGGGTGGGCTGCCCATGGCGCCGTGAGGGTCAGAGGAGGCCCTGGCCTGGTCCCTGCCTTCAGCCCCTCTGCGTCCCAGCTGTGTGGATGATGGGCACTGAGTCACCCCACAACTGGTGAGATGTCAGCTGCCCAGAAGGGCTGTGAGGTTGAGCTGAGCGTGTGAGTGGGGAGTGTCTCAGTGCTGCCCTCTAGAGGCAGGAGAGCGTGGGGGCAGGTTACTGAGGGACAAAGCTGTCTTTACTGAACCTGGCTGCGTGTCCAGGCTTTGTAAGGTGGTATAGGGAGCTTTGACCAGTTTATAGGTAGGATCCTAGCCTCTTGGATTCTTTGCTTTAAAAAAAAAAAAAGACATCACGTCCCAGAAGGGAAATGCCAGTGGCAGTGAGCACATTTTCAGAATTTGCCTTCTCTCAACCAAAACACAAAACCCGTTGCCGTCAAGCCAGTTCCAACTCATGTTGACCCCATGTGTGTCAGAGTAGAACTGCGCTCGACAGGGTTTTCAATGGCTGTATGGACATAGCTCGCCAGGCCTTTCTTCTGCAGCACCACTGGGTGAATTCGAACCACCAACTTTTTGGTTAGTAGTTCAGTGCAAACCACTCATGCCACCCAGGTGTTCATGTGCTCGGTGCACATTTGGCACCTGCTGTGTGCCTTGGCCTCTCCCAGGACAGGTCTCACCCCTTTTCCCCAGTGGGCTGCAGACTGCGAAGAAGAAAACACTTGCATGACAGGCACTAAACAGGGATCGAACAGGAGCTGCGACGGGGACAGAGAGGGTCTCGCCCCACGGAAAGTCCGTGGCTGAGCCGGGATGCACCTAGTGGGAAGGAGCCCCCCGCACACAGAGCAGGTGCACAGGCAAGAGCAACCCAGCTTGTGTTGTGTGGTGCCAGCCCTGCCCTCCCAAATCTGCGAAAGCAGGGACACAGACCTCGGCTTACCCGTCTCCGTACCTTCAGCCCCACTCAGGGCAGGGCCTGGTTCACAGAGGCCTCTGTAAATCTTTCCTCCTTTTTTTAAAGTTTTTTATTGTGAAATAATTGTACATTGACCTGAAGTTGTAAGAAATAATATAGGGAAACCCCACGTGCTCTTCACCCAGTTTCCCACAATGATAGCATCTGGCAAAACCCTAGTACAGTGTCACAGGCAGGAAGTTGACATTGATACAGTCCACCCACCTTTTCCAGATTTCACTGGGGTGTGTGTGTGTGTGTGTGTGTGTGTGTGTGTGTGTCTGTGTCTGTGTCTGTGTCTGTGTGTCTGTGTCAGTGTGTCTGCATGTGTCTGTGTGTCTGTGTGCACTCTCTGTAAATCTTTATTGACATCTTTATTGTTTCTTAGGGCTGCCATAGCAAAATACCATAAGCGAGTGGCTTTGTTGTTAGTGGATTTATTGCCGTGCAGTTCTGGAAGCTAGCAGTCCGACTTCAGGGCATCGGCAGGGCCCTGCTCTGTCTTTTTCTCTGGGCTCTAGCGTCTCGTAGCCCCAGGCATCCCTTGGCGCCCCCTGGCGTCCCCTGGTGTCCCCAGGCGTCCCCAGGTGTCCCTCGGCGTCCCTCGGCATCCCTTGGTGTCCCCAGGCATCCCTTGGCGTCCCCTGGCATCCCCTGGTGTCCCCGGGCGTCCCTCCGCGTCCCTCCACGTCCCCCGGCGTCCCCTGCCGTCCCTCGGCGTCCCCAGGCATCCTGTGGCGTCCCCTGGCATCCCCTGGCGTCCCCGGGCGTCCCTCCGCGTCCCTCCACATCCCCCGGCGTCCCCTGCCATCCCTCGGCGTCCCCAGGCGTCCCTTGGCGTCCCTTGCCTTGTAGAGGGATCCTCACACGCTGCCTCCCACTGTATGTCACTCTCCCTGTCTGTCCCCCCTTTCTAAGACACCACTCGGATGGGATTAGGGCCCACCCTGCTCCAGTATGACCTTGTTAACTGATAACATCTGTAATCCCAAAACCCACTGCCATCAAGTCGGTTCCACAGAGCCAAGCCAAGGTCAGGTTCCCAGGTTCAGGGGCTGGGACCTCAGCACATCTCTTTGGGGGACACAGTCTGGTCCACGACATTTACTGACCATTGTCGTCACGTGAAGTGACCGCCTTGTTCACGGGCCGAGTGGACGCCCCGTCCCACCAAACAGGAACGTACTTTGAGATCCCCGGTCTTAACACCCCTTCCTCCCTCCGGCCAGGCCAAGGCCGCTGAGTGCTTTCCGGAACTGGGGGGTCCTGGCTGAGTGGCTTGAGGAAGCGAAGCCTCCAGAGTCATTCTGATGGCTCAGGTCCTGGCTTTACCATGGCCATGGCTAGCCACGTTGTCTGTGCTTTTCTCACGTGTAAAACGAGGGTGATTACAGCACAGCCTTCGCAGAGCACCTGGCGCCCAGGGGTCCAGTGTGGCCGTGACCCTTGCTGCGGTCAGTCCTCCTCCTCTGTCCCCTGCCACTGTCTGGGGAGTCACCTGGGGTTATTTGGTTTTTCTCTCCTAGTTTCCTTACGTCACTCCCGCCCCCCACGAGCCGGTGAAGACGCTGAGGAGCTTGGTGAACATCCGCAAGGACTCCTTGCGGCTCGTGAGGTAACCTGGGCACTGCCGTTCGGCTGGGGAGGCCAGGCCAGCTCTGTGGGGCGTCACGTGGTGCAGAGGCCCTGCTTCGGTGCTTTGGGAAGAGAAGAGGCATTGAGGGGTCCCATCCAGTCTCTGCCCTCCTTTCTGTAACCTCAGGAGGCTGCGGTCAGGATAGGATGGTCCATGGGAGGGGAGAGGTCAAGCAGAGGTCTGTTGTGGGACTCCATCCTTTAACCCAGGGTTCTCCATGGGGATGATTGTTTTCCTGGGGGACACTGGACAAGGTCTAGGAATGTGCCTGGTTGCCACACCTGAGATGGGGGTGCTCCCGGCATCTGGTGGGTGGAGGTCAGGGGTGCAGCCCCACCACAAGGAATGATCTGGAACAAAGTGTTAACAGTGCCGAGGCTGGGAAGCCCAGGTCTAAACCAAAACCCAAACCAAACCCATTGCCATTGAGTCGATTCCGACTCACAGCAACCCTATAGGACAGAGTAGAACTGCCCCATAGGGTTTCTAAGGAGCGGCTGGTGGATTCGAACTACTGACCTTTTGATTGGCAGATGAGCTGTTAACCACTGTGCCACCAGGGCCCGGGTCTAGGGGATCTAAAGTCCGTCCAGCTTTCATGTGACCACCTGAGACTTCCCAGCCCCAGTGGCCCCAGAGACAGATCTGAGCGTGGTGGCCCAGCAGGCCAGCACCCAGTCAGGATGTCATGTGGGATGTTTCTCAGACATTATGTCCACCTGTACCCCCTGGGGGTTGTGGTACAAGCCAGATTCTGACCCAGTAGTTCCGGGCTGGGCCTGAGATCCTGCACTTCCAGCAGGCCCTGGGGACGTGCTGGTCAGCGGCCTCACTGAGCAGTGAGGGTGTGTTCCCGCCCAAGCAGTGAGGGTGTGCTTCCTGCTGGTCCTGGGGCCGGCCTGGGTGGGGCCTTGGAGTCCGCCACCCCTGCCAGGACTGTGGGTTCCAGACAGGTGCCGTATTGGGTGTTCCCTTGCGCAGCGCATAGGGTGGCCCCCCACTCTGTGATGAGGAGGGAGCCGGCCCCACATGTCAGCGGTGCCGGGGCTGGGACACCCTGTGTGCAGCATCTGGAGCTGTCTCTAAACCAAGAGGCTCGGTTCCCTTTTCCATGGGTCAGTAGAAAGGAAAGGAAACCTGGATTGTAGGGCCCTATTGACCAGACGGGAAGGGCCCCAGCAGTGGGTGTGCCAAGGCGGTGGCTCAGCAGGTCTCTCAGCCCCAGTGCCCCAGCAGTGGGTCAGCCAGGCAGGCCTGGGCCCCGCTCACCTGTGGCCACATCCCCCTCTTAGGTACAAAGACGACGCTGACAGCCCCACTGAGGAGAATGAGAAGCCCCGGGTCCTCTACAGCCTGGAGTTCACCTTCGACGCAGACGCCCGCGTGGCCATCACCATCTACTGCCAGGCGACCGAGGAGTTCCTGAACGGCACGGCTGTGTGAGTCCACGGGCAGCCAGCAGGCGGGTGGTCAGGGGCTGGGGCCTGGACAGCCTGGGCCCCAGCAGCTCTGCTACCAGACCAGTTATTGCTGAGTTGATTCCAACTCGTGGCAACACCCTGTGCGTCAGAGTAGAACTATACTCAGTGGCTGGTCTTTCAAAAGTAGATCACCAGGCCTTTCTTCCAAGGTGCTTCTGGGTGGACTTAGACCTTGAGCCTTTTAGTTAGCAGCTGAATGCTTTAACTGTGTGCACCGCCCAGGGCCTCCAGCTGTGCTCCCAGCTGTGTTCTGTGTTGAGCTTTTGGATAAGATTTTGAGTTCCTGTCCTGCTGGCCAAGAGAGTTTGAAATCTGTACCCCAGTGCCTCCCCCTCCCGTCTCCCAGGCCAGGCTCCACCTGGTAGGGCCTGAAGGGGAGCAGGAATTTGCTCACCTCCTTCCCCTGTTGGGAAAAGCAGTCAGAAGCCAGATTGGGATCTGGGGATGGCACCCTGGTGGTGAGCTTGGGCTTTAAATCTGGCGCTGACCCATCCCTGCTGAGTGGCCCAGGGCACATGACTCCTGGTGCCTCAGTTTCCTCAGCTGGGAAAGGGGGTGGCTGGAGCCTCTCACGTGGTGTTCTGAGAACAGGACACCTCTGTGCACAGTGACTGGGGAGCAACACCAGGCTGTCAGTGAGGAAGCAGGGGGGTGGGGAGAGTGCAGGCAGGGGCACTGCTGTTGAGCCTTGTAAAGAGAGACATCAGTGGCCATGTGTGAATGGGCTCAGCCTCTCCGGGAGCCATGCCTGGCATCTTCGAGAGCAGAGGAGAGGGGCAGAGGTGGGCACCTGGGCGCTCCCTGGTGCCTTTGAGGCGTGGGGAGCCCTCCACACCGCGCGCCCTGGTGCGTTTGGGTGTAGGGAGCCCTCTGCACCGCGCTCCCTGGTGCCTTTGAGGCATGGGGAGCCCTCTGCACCGCACGCACTGGTGCCTTTGGGTGTAGGGAGCCCTCTGCACCGCGCTCCCTGGTACCTTTGAACATAGTACCTTGTTCATTAAGAAAAGAAACGAGCCATACAAACCAGGTAGAGAGACGTGAGCCACATACAGAAAGGTCGCAGAGTTGGCGGCGGTTGTGGGCTCTAGAAGGGTTGGAACTGCGTGACCCAGCCCAGCTGTGTGACCAGCAGAATGAGGCAGTGACAGCCACGTGGAGGGGCTTTCAGGGACAAGGGCTGTGTGGCCATGGAGGCCACCTCCCTGCCTCCCCAGAGAGAGCCGTGGACTTGCAGCTGTGGGAGATTCCTGCTTTGTCCCTAAAAGGAACATGGGTGTTGGCCCCTGTGTGGAGAGTGTGTGTCGGTGGGGGTCCTTGGTGGCTGCTGGCAGGAAAGGGTCACTCAGCCGGCCCCCAGAGTGGTGTGTGCGTCAGCAGAGCCTCACCCCCTCCCTTCTCTTTTGCTGCCCCTCAGATACAGCCCCAAGAGCGCCGCCCTGCAGTCCGAGACTGTCCACTACAAGAGAGGGGTGGGCCAGCAGTTCTCCCTGCCCTCCTTCAAGATCGACTTCTCGGAGTGGAAGGATGATGAGGTAATGCTCCTGGACGAGCCCCTGCTGGTTCCTGACCCCTTTTCTGAATTCTCTCCCCTTGGGGTAGGGCGGGCACAATGGGGCTGCTGTGGTCAGCTCCTGGGATGGTGGCTCAGCACTGGGAACAGCGGCCCACCAGGGCCGAGATCTGAACCTGTGTGTGCTGATGGCCGGGGCGCGGCTGGCCTGAGCATTGGCTGGAGGCATAAGCAGAGGCCAGACCACGCAGCAACAGCGCCGGGCTTGGTACTGTGTGAGGAAGCCGCTCCCTTGCTGTTGTTGGGGCCACAGGGCTGTGCTTGGCAGGACCTGTGAACGTGGGGTGTCAGTTTCACAGTCGGGGCTTTATTTCACACGTAAGGGAAAGGTGTTCATTGCAGCTTTGTTTACAATTGAAGAAGTTGGAAATAATCTAAATGCCCGTCCGAGGGGATTGCATATTTATATTATGGGCACCACGTATGTGTATGTAGGAGCCACTGGGTGGTGCCGACAATTAACCCACTCGACTGCTAACTGAAAGGTTGACGGTTCAAGCTTATCTAGAGGTACCTTGGAAGAAAGCCTGGTGATCTACTTCCAGAAAAATTAAACATTGAAAACCCTATGGAACACAGTTCTGCTCTGACACACATGGGGTCGCCATGAGTTAGAATCAGTTCAACAGCAATTTTTTTTTTTTAGCATATATATTATGGGATCCATAGTTCATTTTACATTATGGGGTGCCATGCAGCCTTAAAGCAAATGAGAGAGGTCTGTATATACTGACGTGATGCAGAGAGCCCTGCTGGGTACAGAGATGAGTAAGTATGATCTTTGATCCCAGATAGATAGTTCTTAAAAGAGCACAATGCTCAAGGCAGACATTCTTTACTAATTAAGCTAAAGTGTTGTTTGGTCTTAAAAAGACTTCAGGGGATATTTTTGGTTTAAGATTTAAAGATTATCTCAGGGCAGTAGTTTCGGGTTCATCCAACCTCCATGGCTCCAGAAAATCTAGATTCCTTTAAAATTTGAAGTTCTGTTCTGCATTTCCCCCCTTTTGATCAGAATAGAATGTTTGATCAAAATGGTCAGTAATGGTGGCTGGGCATCATCCAGTTCTTCTAGTCTCACGGCAAAGGAGGCAACTGTTCACAGAGGCAATTAGCCACACATTCCATTTCTTGAGGTATAATTTGTGTATCATAAGACTCCCCTATTTTAAATGTACAATTCAATGATTTTTAGTAAATTTATGAGTTGTACAGCCATCACCACAATCCACATCCAGTTGTAGAACATTCCTATCTTCTCAGTAGGATCCCTCCTGCCCATTTTCAGTGAATCCCTGTTCCTACCCCTCAGCAACCACTCATCTGTTCCTGTCTCTGAGTTTGGCTTTTCTGCATATGTTTCACAGAAATAAAGTCAGGCACTGTGTGGCCTTGTGTGTCTGACTTCTTTCAGTTAGTTCAATTATTAGGTTTTTAATGGAAGGTTCTTATCGTTAGGTGCTGTCGAGTCTGTTCCGACTCATAGTGACCCCATGGGACAGAGTAGAACGGCCCCATAGGATTTTCTAGGCTGTAATCTTTATGGGAGCAGATCACCAGGTCTTTCTCCTGTGGAGCCGCTGGATGGGTTCAAGCCACCAACCTTTCGGTTAGCAGCCAAGTGCTTAACCGTTGTGCCACCAGGTCTCCTTTAATAGAAAGTATTCATGTATTATGTTATTAAAAATTAGGTGAAGTGGAAGGAGTGGAGACCATAGGGTGTGTTGTGGTGTAGGAATTGGCCGAGGAGTTTCTGGAATTGCAGAGAAGGCGAAGGCCACGCTGTGGTGTTTGTGCTTGCCAGTCAGGGTTCTCTGATGGCAAGCAGCAGAAGCCACCTGAATGACTGAGGTGAGAGAGCAGGCCTTCTGAAAGACGCATGTGGCCATCAGGGTCACAGGGAGAGCTGCACAGCCAGCCCCTGACCCAGTGCAGGCGCCGTGGACCCCTCCTGCCCCCGCCCAGCCCCACCAGAAGGTTCTGTCCCTGTACTGCGTAGGTCCCAGCTCAGACCCAGCACGGCATGTCACTAGCTTGGGTTTCCTCTTCCCCCTTTGGAAGGGGGTGGGGCAGGTGCTGTGGAATGGAGGAAGGCAAGGGCAGCCAGAAACGGGCTGGGCAGGCAAGCGGCAGGGTGAGTCTGGGCTGAGGCTGCACTTGCTTAGCGACCTCCATGGTTGTCTGGTCCCTCGGCGTTTTGGCTGGTCCCTGGCAGTGTGCTGAGGCAGGCCGACAGCTCGGGTTCTAGACTCCCAGGGATTCACTGGTCCTAGGACACATCTAGCTTGTGAACTGGTCCCGGCGCCATGTAGGGCACCCCCTTTAAATCACTCAGTGTTTCTTATATGTACTTTAAAATGGGGGCTTTATCAGTCATTACTGTAGATGGGGAAACTGCTGACGTCGCCATAAATAGAAGACTCCGTCGATTAAGCTTCATGGAGAACAGAACAGTCACGTCATTATGTGTCTTCGCTGCTGAAGGCGTTGAGGGCACGTTGGCAGGGTTACAGACACGCAGCCCCAAAGTCGAATTTCCCCTCCAACCCAAGGTTCTCAGCCACCACACTTGTGACTTCTGGGGTCAGATAATCCCTTGTTGGGGTGTCCTGTGCACTGCAGGATATTGACCAGCATCCCTGGCCTCCACCTACCAGATGCCAGTGGCATCCCGTTCTCAGTTATGGCAGCCACAGCTGTCTCCAGACATCGCCAAGTAGCCCCCGGCCGAGAGCCCCGCCTTAACGTTATTAGCAGGAGTGGCTTTCTCCCGGCAGGTTCTGTTCTTGAACACCTGCTGGAAGCACCTGAACCTCTCGCCAGGCGGTCACCAGGCGGTCACCAGGCTGCCACCCTCCTTGTCATAGCCATTTTTCAGATTTGCCTTTTTTGTGGTCACAGCAGTGACCTATGCTCGTAAAATAGGTAAGTTGCGTGGAGTGTTTGTGAAGCACAGCCGCCCTCTCCCGAGGCCCGTCGGGGAGGAGTATCCCGGGCCGTCTGCATGGGCTTGTTTTTACCGCAGTGCAGTCATACTGTCCCAGCGTTACTCCGCAACTGGTTCTTTTTTTAAGCAGCTTTATTGAGATATAGTTCACATACCACACAGGCACGCTTTTAAAGTAAGTGTCCAGTTGAGTGATTTTAGTATATCCAGAGTTGTGCAGCCATCAACACTAATTCCAGAACGTTTTCTTCACCCCAGAAGGAAACCCTCTACCCCATAGGAGTGACTCCTGTTGAACATTTGTGCGCATGGATGTTTTCACTTCTCTTAGGTGTAACGTGCTTTTTATTTGCATTTTGTTGCTGAATTATACTGGGGACGTCTTTCAGTGTCAGGACTTACTGATCTCCTCCAAAGTCCTCTGTGGGTTGGCTGGTGTCTTCGCTAACTTTCCTCATGGACTTAAAACGTTCATTTCAGTCACAGCCACGCCTGCTCCTCCTTCGCCCTTTGCCTTGTTCCTACTTCCCAGCATGCACGTGACCTGTGTGGTGGGGAGACCCCCAGGCTCCCAGGGTGTGAGGCAGAAAGAAGTTTCATGATGGGCACCCTCCAGGGCCCTGGGGGAGGCCTTGAGCGTGATGCTCGCCCATCAGCCCCTTTCTCTGGACTGGATGTCCACCTTTCCTCAGAAAGCCTCTTCATCTTTGTACTAAGAATGAAACAGAAGTCTCTCCGGCTCACTAGTGGGCAGAGGCTCTCTGCCCTCTCCTGCCATCCCTTTGTGGTTCCCACACCCACTGTGTGTGTGGCTCCTGGGTAGCGCTGTGGCCTGGCTCTGTGTGTGGCTCGTTGGTGGTGCTGTGTGCCCGGCTCTGTGTGTGGCTCGTGGGTGGCGCTGTGTGCCCGACTCTGTACATGGCTCATGGGTGGTGCTGTGGCCTGGCTCTGTGTGTGGCTCATGGGTGGTGCTGTGTGCCCGGCTCTGTGTGTGGCTCGTGGGTGGTGCTGTGTGCCTGGCTCTGTGTGTGGCTCATGGGTGGCACTGTGTGCCCGGCTCTGTGTGTGGCTCGTGGGTGGCACTGTGTGCCCGGCTCTGTACATGGCTCATGGGTGGCGCTGTGTGCCCGGCTCTGTGTGTGGCTCGTGGGTGGTGCTGTGTGCCCGGCTCTGTACATGGCTCATGGGTGGCGCTGTGTGCCCGGCTCTGTACATGGCTCATGGGTGGTGCTGCGGCCTGGCTCTGTGCGTGGCTCATGGGTGGCGCTCTGTGCCCGGCTCTGGCAGTAGGAGCTCCTGGGAAACGGAGCAGCTCCCTGGTGGCCCCACCTTCCCTGGGTGCAGGCCTCACCGTCCATGCGATGCAGCCGGGATAGGGTGTCGTGACCCCCAGTGGCACAGCCTCCCGGGCCTGGTTCCACAGGGCAGGTGGGGCCACAATGGGGTCTCTTTGTCCCCTGGGCCCTGCACTGGGCCAGCACAGAGGGGTTTCCTAAGAACCAAAACCAAACCCATTGCCGTCAAGTCAATTCCGACTCATATCATCCCTATAGGACAGAGTAGAACTGCCCCGTAGGGTTTCCAAGGAGTGGCTGGTGGATTCAAACTGCTGACCTTTCGTTTAGCAGCTGAGCTGTTAACCCCTGAGCCACCAGGGCTACAGAGGGGGTTCCCAGTAAGGGTTAACTGAAGACTGCGAAGGAGTTACGGTGCAGTGGTCACTGGGTTCTGTCCTACATCCTGCGGTGCCCACCAAGGTGAATGTTAGCAGGAGGCAGCAGGGGCAGTAGCTGGGGCAGGACTTCTTCAGTTTTAAGTGACAGAAACACAACTCAGTCTGGCTTAAGGAAAGGAAAAAAGGAATTCATTGGCCTAGATTCTGAAAGAGCTGGATGGCTCGGGGTTTCTACCTGCAGGGCCCAAGCAATGGCATCAGGGCGGGTGTCCCTGCCGCTCGGTGCGCCCTCCCTGCAGACCAGTGAAGGGATGGTGTCGGCCAGTCCATCTGAGGCTGGGTGCCCGCTCTGGCCGGGTTGGAGTCACTCCACCAGCCTGCAGGGCCTGGCGGCTGATCCTGTCACTTTCTGCTGCCTCACTGAGCCTTGGTTCCCCGTCCGCAAAGTGGAGATAGGAGCAGTCCCTCCCTCCGAGGGTGCCAAGTGCCAGCCCCAGAGAGGAGGTGAGAAGGGAGAACCATCGCCCCCTGCTGGTGAGATTATGCACACACCTCCCAGACCGTAGCTATTTAAAATTCCAACTGCAAAACGGAGCTGCAAGCTGGTGCCGAGACAGCGTTCAGGTTAGAGGGCAAATGAGGAAAAAATCTCTAAATAAAATTACCAGCTCCAAGGAGTCGGCACCAGGCCCATGTTCCAGCAGCCAAGCTGACACGGGGGAGCGGGTGCCAGGCCCTTCCCCCACACCTCTGCTTTCCCACCTCCTCTGTCGCGGGAGTGAGGCCCCAGTGGGCCCTCTCCTGGGCTCAGTTATGGGGCTCGTGAGGGACGGTGTCTGAGCCCACACCCAATGCCCTTGTCACAAGCACTGGTGACCGGGAGGGTCGGTGGCCAGATCACACCCATGCACGTGACTGAGGTGTGGAGGGAAGGACCAGGCATACAAAGGGACCCTTGTCCCGGAGAGTGTAGAGGAAACCCAGGAGGAGAAGCGGGTGGGGCAGGGGATTCAGGGCACCCACCTGCAGGTGCGGGAGCGAGGGAGATGAGGTGGCTCGCCCTGTCACAGACCCAGGCATCTGAAGTACAGCCCTTCCCTGGGACGCACGAGCTCGAGCGCTGGCCGGGCCCTGACCCGTGGGCATGTGGACATGTTGGCCCCTTACCAGGGTGTGTAGTTTCTGGGTGTATGTGGACCTTTCCATGGAGGGCCCCCGCAACCCAGCACAGCCCTCTGACCTCTCCCTTCGGCGGTCAGCCACCGCTTCTTTCCCCCACACCTACAGCCCCGGCCCAGAGGAGGCCGAGACTTGATAGCCCCACACAGGAGTGTTTCTCAGCTCCCATTGCCCACAGACTTGGGGCTTCTCGTCGCTGGTGTCAGAGTGCTCTCCTGGGCACTGTGCTTAGAGCTTTGCGTTTGGAAGAGGAAAAACAGGCTCATGTCTTGGCTTGTTCACAGTGAAAGGACGGGACCCAGGCTCGAACCCACAGCCCTGAGTCTCGGCCTGCCCTCAGCACCTCTGTCCAGGGCCTGCCACCTCCCGGCTGCTCTCCCGACCAGTCCCGGCATCCCCGCTAAGATGACGGTGCAGCCCCCCACCCCCGCCTCCTGTGGCCCCTGGGTGTGGTGTCTGCCGCCTGACAGCCGCCTCTCTCCTCGCGTGTGTCGGTCCCGGGCCTGGGGGCTCTGTGGCCCAGCCCATGAGCTGACCCCAGTCTGAGCGGGTGTGGATTGAAGGCTGGGTTGGCACTTGTGTTCACAGGTCTATGGTGCAGCTGACGGTGCTTTCCTAGGGCCTTTGGTGTGGAGGGAGATTTAAGAGTGGGTGCTTGGCTTCCAGATGAAGCCAGCGAAGCCCCCGGTGTGCGGGGGGCACCAGCACTGTGGACTGGCGCTCGGCAGGGCTTCTGGTGCCTTCCACGAAAACAAGGGCGGCCCAGGCGCCGACAGGTGGGTGAGGGTGGGGATCTGGGCTGTGGTCTTTCCTGTGTGTCTGTGTGTGTGTATGTGTGTATTGTGAGTATGTGTGAATGTGTCTCCGTGTGTGTTAGCGTATGAACGTGTGTGTGAGCATGTGTCCATTTGTGTGTGTGTGTATGCATGTGAATGGGTGTGTGAGCGTATGTGTGTGTGTGTGTGTATATGAGTGTCTATATAAGTGTGTCTGTGTGACAGCATGTGTCTGTGTGCTTGTGTCTCTGTGTGTCTGTGTGTGCATGTGAATGTAAGCGTGTCTGTTGCGTGTGTATGTGGGATTGTGTGAGTGCGTGTAAATGTGTGTGAGCATGTGTCTGTGTATTTGTATGTATGAGTGTGTATATGCCTGAACGTGTGTGTGTGTCTATATAAGGAGTGTGTCTGACTGTGTGAGAGCATGTGTGTTATTTGTGCGTGCGTCTGTGTGTGTATGATTGTGAGTGTGCATGTGAATGTGAGCGTGTATGTGTGATTGTGTAAGTATGTATGTGGATGCGTGTGAGCATGTCTGTGTGTGCGAGCATGTGTGTGTGTCTGGATTGTGAGCATGTGTCTGTGTGCATCTCTGTACGATCGTGTGAGTGTGCATGTGGATGTGTGTGAGCGTGTCTGTGGATATGTGTGTGTGTGTGAGGGCGTGTATGTGTGATTGTGCGAGTGTGCGTGTGAATGCGTGTGAGCATGTATCTGCGTGTATTTGTGTGTGTGAGCGTGTGGATGTGTCTGTGAGTGTGCATGTGGATGTGTGTGAGCACGTCTGTGCTAGCGTGTGTGTATGTGTGCCTATGAATGTGTGTGAGCACATGTCTGTGTATCTGTGTGTCTGTCTGGCTTGTGTGTCCACGTGTGCCAGTCTGGGCCCCCAGTTGGGCGTTGTTTGCACGCGTACGTCTCTGGGCCCTTCTCTCTGCTTGTCCTTTGTTGTCTGTTTTGTCCCCTCTCCTTGTTTTTATTTTTGGTAGGAATTCCCGGTGTTGACAGATCATAGGAAGAATCATTCTTTCTGTCCCCTGAATAATGGTAATAACAACAGCAGTAGCCACCCCAAGTGGCACATCTGTGCTGGGTCAGGTGGAAGGACTTGATGGCATCATGTCTCTGGAACCCATGAGGTCGATGCAGTAATCACCGCATTTTACAAAGCAGGAAGTGGAGGCTCAGAGAGGCAGAGTGGCTTGAAATGGAAGTCACCTGGGTCCCCGGGTGGGGACATGCAGGAAGTCCCTGTGTCCAGAGCTCGCTTCCACTGCCCACTTCCTGGAGGGACCAACGGGGGACGGGGGGCCCTGGGCTTCCCCTACTTCAAGCTCATCCAAACCTGGGCTTGCTGAAAGTGCCTTTTCAGATCTGGGTGGGCCTTGCTGTTTCTAAACGTGTCCGTTCCCAGGGGACTGCTTAGCTGCGGAGCCAGGATTCTGGTGCGTCAGCCCAGGAATGGCACCACTGTGACGTTTTCTGAAGGGCGGGTACTGCAGACGGGCCCTGGGGCCTCTCCCCTCTCCCCACCGCTGTTCCAGACCCCGAGGCGGAGGCAGTGCTCTGCGCCTGGCCTGCTGGGGTCACTGGGGTCCCCGCGTCCTTTCTCTTTGGTGTTTCAGCCACCCTTTCTTTGTTCTGTTTTGTTCTTGGGTGCCATCGAGTCGATTCCAACTCAGCAACCCTGTAGGACAGAGTAGAACTGCCCCATCGGGTTTTCTAGGCTGTAAATCTTTTATGGAAGCAGAACGCCAGCCAGGTCATTCTGCCGCGGAGCTGCTGGGTGAGTTCCGGCCGCCGACTTTTCAGTTAGCAGCGAGCGCTTGACCGTCGCTCCACCAGAGCTCATTGTCTTTGTTTTTATCCAGCTTTATGGAGGTCCACCTCACATACCACACAATTCACCCCTTTAAACTGCTCAAGTCAGTGCTTGTTAGTGTGTTTGTGCAGTTGTGCAACCATGATCCGTTCTTCTAGTAAACTTTTATTGAGAAATCAGTGTTTTTTTACTCCAGAAATTAAAAAACACAAGCATCTGTGGGCTTTCTCTGGGCAAGCGGTGAGGGTGGGGAGACAGGCAGGGTCTCGCGAGGAGTCGGGGTGGATTATTTACAAGGTTCCTTTCCTCGTTCCGATGGTCGTACAGAGCCGACAGTGGGAGCTGAGAGTGTGTAGTGGGACTCCCGCCCTGCGGGGCCCAGGGATGGCGGTCCTGAGACCCAGAGTGGGAGTGGCCAGCAGGGTGCGCGGGGGAGCGAGAGGTCCTGGCAGGCAGGAGGTGGTTGTTAGGTGTGGTGGAGTTGATTCTCACTTGTAGCGCCCTGTAGGACAGAGTAGAACTGCCCCATGGGGTTTCCGAGGCTGTAATCTTTATGAAAGCAGACTGCCACATCTTTCTCCTGTGGAGCAGTAGGTGGGTTCAAACCACCGACCTTTTGGTTGACGGCTGAGTGCTTAACACTGGGGCTCCTTCCGGAAAGAGGGCGCAGGCATATTTGAGGAATGGACGTGGCCTGGTCTGGCAGCAGGGGTGAGCGGGTTGGGATGAAGTTGGAGTGCATGGCGGGCCGCACGGGGCCTTGTGGCCATGGGGAGGAAACGCCTTTAGAGCATCAGGAGCCGGAAGGGATGTAAGCCCCGGAGGGTAGTGGAAGGGAGGGTTTCTGCTGAGGGGTCCAAGCCAGGTGCCTCTCTCCCTCACCTGCTTGTCCTCGCATCCCACTCTGACCCTGACTCTGCGATCCGGCTGCCGTGGTCCTGACCATCCTTGCTTCCTTCCTCCCTCAGCTGAACTTTGACCTGGACCGGGGCGTGTTTCCGGTGGTCGTCCAGGCCGTGGTGGACGAAGGGGACGGTGAGCAGCGTTGGCTTCTCCTGCCTCTCCCGTCTCCCCGGGAGTGCTTCCTTCTAAGCTCTGGACCTGCAGGAAGACCCCCTCGGGCCCTGCACCTGGCCAGAGTGGATGGGAGCTGTGGGCTCCGCTCAAGGGGCAGGTTTGGGCCCCGTGGCTGCAGGCACCAGAAACTTCAGCTCTTCTTCACCGGGGCTGCTGCCCAGGTGTTCAGCACCTTCCTCCCCTCCCTGGCTGGAGCCCCTCACTGCTCCTTCTCATCGCGGGACTGCAGCTGATGGACGGGCTGGTGTCTCCATCACCCGCCTCCCCACGCACACCTGTGTGGGTGAGCTGGCTCTGTCACTGCAGTCACGGCCTCAGAGAGCCGCCTCTGCTTCCTGGGCTCACACGTACCTGTGAAGCACCCCAGTCACGTGATGAGGACAGGTAGCGGGAAGGGCCAGAGCTGGCCTGTGTGCTTCGTGCCGAAACGTCCCTCCGTGTGTGAGTGGGACAGCAGGTGGCCATAGCAGGGAGCCCATGGGCCACGAAGTCAGGCCCAGGAACAGACTCAAGACTCTCTTACTAGGCCCTCGAGGGTGTGAAACCACAGCCTGCTCGGTTGAGGGGGGCGAGGTCCGGGTGAGGGAGAACGTACTGGCACCTGCAGAGCTGGGGGCAGCCAGCTCTGACGACTCTCCTTTCCCTCCCTCCCCGCAGTTGTGGAGGTGACTGGCCACGCCCACGTGCTCTTGGCTGCCTTTGAAAAGGTGAGTGCCGTCTTGCCCACCTGCCCCTCGTAGGGGGCGGCCTACGTGAACGTGGGGGCCAGGCTTGGAGAAGTGGGCCTAGTGCCAGTGGCCAGGGCAGGGGGATGATTCCCCGGAGTTCCAGGCCAAGGGGATGATTCCCCAGAGTTCCAGGCCAAGGGGAGGATGGTGCTTCCCAGGAGGCTGGGAGAGTGTTCTAGACTGAGGCCGGCCCTTTAGAACTCTTGCGTGTCTATGTTTCTGTATGTGATGTGTAGGGGTGTGTGTGGGGTGTGTGTATGTGTATGAGTGTGTGTGTCTGTGTGTGGTATATATGTTTGTGTGGGGTGTATATGTATATATATGCGGGTGTGTGTGTGTGGTATATATATGTGTGTTTCTGTGGTATATGTATGTATATATGTGGGGCGGGGTTGTGTGTGTCTGTGCATGGCGGCTTTGGTAATGAGGCCCATCAGCACCCCAGGGAATCATAAGGGAGTCACGTATTCTACGGATGGTCAGACCCGTTGGTGACTTCTGGTTCCTGGGGGGCCACACAGACCACTTAGTGGGTGTCCATCCCCGCAGCCATCGAGTGTCAAAGCTGTATTGGGACAGGGTCTCTGCTCACTGAGGACCTCACCAGAGGGCAGTGGGGCACATTCCCTAATGCCACGGCCGACACCCCTGCCCCCATGGTCTGACATCCGTCAGCACTTGGCAGCTGTGAAGTGTTTCAAGTGCCAGCCCGTGGCCCCTCTCTGTTTTCCAGGCAGGCAGCAAGGTCCCTCACTGGCCGGCGGGATGGGCCTGGGGCTCAGAATGTTCTGGGTTTTTCCCGCTGACTCTTGGTTCCCCATCCCCGTGTGTGAGGCTCCTTCCTGTGACCAGGCCTTTCCAGAGCGCCCCAGGGGAGTCAGCGCAGCTGGTCCGCGGCCTCTCTGGCCTATCTGTCCTCTGGGTGAGGCAAGGTGCCCCGTATGGACCGCACCCACCGAGCCGGTCTTGTCCAGGGAGATGGTCACTGTTGGCCCCTGATGTCCTCTGGCTGACGTTCTGTCCTGTGCCCCTAGCTTAGAGCCCAGGGAGGGGCTGCTTGACTGGCCGAGTCGAACCCACTGGCAGTTTCCTTCCGGCCCTGCCAGCCTGTCCAGCACCGCTTGGCTCGGCTGGCCCAGGAGGGCTGCTGGTGCCGCCCCAGATCTCAGGTCGCGTACCTCGATTGACCCTGTCCATCTCCAAGCAGCGCATCTCCCTGGGTGCCGCCCAGCGCCGCTTGCTCTCCGCTAATTTGCTCTTTTGGTTTTTAGAGCTTGAGCTTTTCCCTGCGTGTGCTTTCTCCCCCGCTAAGCTACACCGTGGAGAGCCGGATGGGTTCGTCTTGAGTTGCACCTAGGGGCTCTTACTTGATGTGGGGGAGGGTCTTGTGCTCCCTCAGACCTTGGCTGAGTGCTCTTACACTGCAGTGTGCCTGTGAGTCACCCCATGTGGGTTTCACGGGTCGGGCCCAGGAGTCTGTGTCTTCACAGGGCGCCCAGGTAGCTGTGACCCAGGTGTGGGACCATGTTCTCAGAAACCCTGGTCTGGCCCTGTGGTCTTCACGTGGCCCCTCCTGTGTCCAGCCGTGGGCGTGGACTGACCAAGGAAAGGCCTTTCAGCTGGCTTTAGTGTGTTGTCCCTTATTTCTACCCAGACCTGGAAGCCCCAGGCCACCCTGTTTTGTGGGACACGTTTATGTTAGAGATGAGAAAGTGTGTGTGTGTGTGTGGTGTATGTGTGCGTGTGTCTGCTGTGTATGTATGTGTGTCATCGTATGTGTCTGTGTGCCTGTGTGTCTTGTCTGTGTGTCTTGTCTGTGTATGTGTCTCTGCTGTATGTGTACGTGTCTGTGTCTGTGTCTCCCGTATGTGTGTGTGTGTACGTGTCTGTATGTATGTATGCGTTTGTGTGTCCATGTGTATGTGTGCCTGTGTCTGTGTTTATAGCTTTCTGTATCTATGCATCTTGTCTGTGTGTGTCTGTGTATGTGTGTGCTGTATGGGTACATGTGTGTCTGCTATACGCATATATGTGTCTGCGTGTATGTGTCTTTGCTGTATGCATACGTGTGTATGTGTGTCTGTGTACGTGTGTGTATGCGTGTCTGTGTATTTGTGACTGTTTCTGTCTATGTCTCGTCTCTGTGTGTGTGTGCTGCATGCGTCCATGTGTCTATCTGCTATATGTGTACGTGTGTATGTCTTCGTGTCTGCTGTACATATACGTGTGTGTGTGTGTCTGTGTGTCTGCTGTGTGCGTGCATGTCTGTGTCTGTCTGCCGTGTGCGTACGTGTCTGCGTCTGCTGTGTGTGTACGTGTCTGCTGTGTTTACATGTCTGTGTGTGTCTGTGTCTGCTGTGTGTGTACATGTCTGGGTGTATGTGTGTGTGTGTATTTGTGACTGTGTCTACGTTTCTGTGTCTGTACGTCTTGTCTTTGTGTATCTGTATGTGTGTGCTGTATGCGTATGTGTGTGTCTGTCTGCTATACGTGTCTGTGTCTGTCTGCTGTACGCATATGTGTGCGTTGTGTTTGTGTGTCTGTGTGCGTGTCTGTGTCTGTCTTCCATGTGTATGCGTTTGTCTGTGTCTGCCGTGTGCGTACATGTGTCTGTGTCTGTGTGCATGTGTGTGTCTGTGTCTGTCTGCCGTGTGCGTGCGTGGGTCTGTGTGTGTCTGTGCAGCTAGTAGAGCTGAGATGTACCAGCTCTACGACTTAACCTCTTGTTTCTTCTCCTGGCAGCACATGGATGGCAGCTTCTCTGTGAAACCTTTAAAGCAAAAGCAAATTGTAAGTTGACCCCACTCGCTCTTGTAAGCCTTTTTGCTTTAAAAGACATGTGCACACACACACTCAGAGTCCAGCAGCTTGCGTGCATTGTTCTGCCTGGGCCACCCTGGCTGCTGCCGCCAGCTACACGGTACCTGTGAACTTGCCTGTCTCCAGGCTGGGCCGTGGGCTGGAGCACCTGGGACGGGGCCCCTGAGTGAGCGCGTGTGTACTGCATGCCCGCCGTGTACCAGCCACGGCTGCAACAGGCCTGTGCCTGGTCTAGGTTTGAACCCCATCCTGGTGCCTGGAACATAGTGCCAAAAAAAAAAAAAAAACCAACTCATTGACGTCAAGTCGATACCAAGTCATAGCAATCCTGTAGTATAGGGTAGAACTGCCCCGTAGGGTTTCCAAGGCTGTAACCTTTAGGGAAGCAGACTGCCACATCTTTCTCCAGTATAGCGGCTGGGGGGTTAAAACAGCCAACCCAAACCGTTGTGCCACCAGGCTCCCTTAAACGCTTTCTACAACATGTAAATACAATCCTACACTCCCAGCGCCTCCATCCTGGCCCTTCTTCTCCCCATACGTCACAGTTCCTCCTGACATCCACAGGGGTCTCCTCGCTCCTGCCCTCACCTTCCAGGCCCAGCCCCAGGCCCACAGCCAGACCTCACTGTTGAATCAACAACTAAAAGCAGCACAACATCCCGTTCTGTTGCTGTTGAGTTGATTCCAGCTCATAGAGACCCCATGTGACAGAAGAACTTGCTCCATAGGGTTTTCTAGGCTATAATCTTTACGGGAGCAGATGGCCAGATCTTTTCTCCAACAGAGCGGCTGATGGGTTCGAACAGCAACCTTTCAGTTGGCAGCTGAGTGCTTCACTGCACCACCAGGGCTCCTTGGAACCTAGTAAGCCTTCAGTCAGTACTTGCTGAAGGAGTGGATGAAGGAACGAGGGAAACGGATATGGAAAACCGTACCCTCCTTATCCTCACAATTTGCTGAAAAATCCTCCGTCTTGGGTTAACACTTGGATTGACTTCATCACCACTGGAGAGGAAAGATGGAATATTCTGGAACAACTGGGAGCTGTACACCAGCCACGTGGCCCAGATGCCCACGTTTCTTTGGGGCTGGTAATTCTGTGGTCCTACACGTGAGGAGGTCCCCACAGAAGGACTGGGAATCTAGGATGGGGGTTCCCTAAACGGAGCTGAGCTAGATTTTGAGACTGATTGAATGTGGGCGTGCCTGGGGTGTGTGTCTCAGGGACTGGGAATCTAGGATGGGGGTTCCCTAACTGGAGCTGAGCTAGATTTTGAGACTGGCTGGACGTGGGTGCGCCTGGGGTGTGTGTCTCAGGGCCGTGGTTTGTGGTTTTCCTCGTGTGTGGCTGCTTAGGTGAGCCTCCGTGTTTCAGAACACAGCCCCGGAGAGGTGTTTGTTAGTTTTCTAAAGGTGAGTAGAGAGAGCCCCAGCGGGCCCAGCAGAGGGCCCGAGGCGCAGACCCTCAGAGCCGCCTCTCTGGGGAGGTGCGTGGCAGCACACGGCTCCCCACAAGGTGCTCGTGGTCTCTGGGCCCCTGGGGAGCGGCTTTCAGGGAGTGGGAGCTCCAGGCGCTCACACCATTTTGAAAATGGTCTGGGAGTAAAGGGCAGGGTGACACCGTTTGTAGAAAGTGGGTTCCGTGTCTTTGAGACGAGAGACGTTTTCACGTTTTGTGGAAGGAGCGTCTATAAAGTAGTAGCGGCTCAGGCTACTGTCCGGTGCCTGAGAGGTTTCAGCTTCCGGCCTCAACTCTGTTCACTCTGAGGGACTGGTGGTGGATGGGGGAGAGCAGTTTGTCTCCAGGGAATGGGGGCAGTGAGGTGGACATAGGGTTTGGGTGCCAGGCCCCCGCGGAGCTTGGCTCAGGCTGTCTGTGGTGGGCAGACCTCCTGGGGCCCCAGCCCCACGTCCCATGATGCTGGCTGGGCTGGGCAGGTAGCAGGTATCTCTGCAGCCTCACTTGGCACTGGGCCGGCTTCCTGGGGTGGGGCTTTGCCAGGTGGGAGCAGAGCCCGAGGGAGTACCCAGCATGCCTGTCTGCCCTCCAGGTGGACCGGGTCAGCTACCTGCTGCAGGAGATTTACGGCATCGAGAACAAGAACACCCGGGAGACAAAGGTATGTCCTGGAAGCTGTCCCCACAGCCCAGTCCCGCTTTCACGGGAGCCGACTCGTTCTGTATGATCTGACCAGGGCCCTGGGCTGATGGAGGGCGGCCTCCCTGCCCTGCCTTCACCCAGGGGGCCTGGGCTGATGGAGGTCAGCCTCCCCGCCCTGCCATCACCCAGGGGGCCTGGGCTGCTCCTAGTCTCCGCCCTTTTCCTTCTTAATTTTTTTTTAAAATAATTTTTTTTTTCTTGAAAATATACACAGCAGAACATACACCAATTCAATGATTTCTGCACGTACAATTTAGTGATATTGATTGTATTTTCGAGGTGTGCAGCCATTCTCAGCAGATTTCCAAATTATTCCTCTACAATGAACATAAACTCACCTAACCTTTCGAGTCTTGACTTTTTTTAAGGTAACGGATTATAGAATATTTTGCCCTTTTTTTAAACAAATTCACTGGCTTGTTATGTCTGTCTTAGGGGCAGGGAGAAACGCAGGAGGGCTCCATCTGCTCTGGGCTGAGCCTCCTTTGAGGTCTTTGCTCACAGTCCACGGTTGAGCCAACGCTGTCCCCTACTGGCTGCCCAGGCTAGTACCCTACACACACTCCTTCTCTCTCTAGTGGAGTGATGCAAATTCTAGATGTTGTAGAAGCAGTGGTGGTTGAGAAAATAAGTTGTGACCGAATTAAGTTCAAGTCCTGGCCTAGTAGGGCCAGGAGGGAGTAGCAGAGAGAGAAGTTGACAGCTGTCTGCCTTTTTAAATTGTCTTTGAAGGCACACTGGCATGTATAAAACTGCCACCTGTTTCATAAAATCTCTTCGGAAGCCTCACATCCCAGCTTTACTCAGGACAGCTGGAACCAGCTAGAACTAGTTTGGCCAGGCCTTAGCCCTTTAGGAGTTAGCCTCAGATAAAGTATCCCTGCTCACTTCAGATGTTCTAGAACAGGGGTTGGCAGACTTTCTGTAAAGGGCCAGATAGTAAATATTTTTAGCTTTGCAGGCCATACAGTCTATGTCACATCTGCTTCATACTGTCAGTGTAACACAAAAGCAGCTACGGACAATATGTAACTTAATTGATGTGACTGTGTACTGATAAAACTTTATTTACAAAAACAAATGGAGGGCCAGAATTCTTGACTCCTATTTTAGAGCTGCCATTACCTAACGAAAAAATTTCAGACGTGTTAAAACTTGGTTGATATTTTGAACAAAATCAGTGGGTACCCTCTGATGAAGGTGAAGATGTGTTCTTTAGTGCCACAGCTTTTCCACATTTTGTCTTTGGTTCTGAAGAATAGAGAGAGGCCTTTGTTTTCTTGATCAGGTGCGTGTATGTGTGTGTTGGGGAGGAGCAAAGATTCCCCTCCCTGCCATGTAGCAGGCATGAGCTGAATTTGAGCCTGGTGTCCATCGAGTGTTGCTCTTGGCTGAACATCTCTGGAACCTTGTCTTAAGTCACAGCCTGTTGCACTTGAGTTGGTCAAAATTCAAGCTTGCATTGGCCAAACCAGAGTCTGAGGGGCCCTGGGGCCCTAGGATGTTACTGGACCACTTAAAAGTGTTCCTGGTCCCATGCTTTCAGGGGACATCTAGGTCAATTGGCATAACAAAGTCTATTAAGAAAATGTTCTCTATCCTACTTTGGTGAGTGGTGTCTGGGGTCTTAAAAGCTAGCAAGTGGCCATCTAAGATGCATCAATTGGTCCCAGCCCACCTGGAATAAAGGAAAATGAAGAACCCCAAAGTCACAAGGAAAGTATTAGCCCAAGAGACAGAAAGGGCCACGTAAACCAGAGACTGCATCATCCTGAGACCAGAAGAACTAGATGGTGCCTGGCTACCACCAATGACTGCCCTGACGGGGAACACAACAGAGAGTCCCTGATGGAGCAGGAGAAAAGTGGGATGCGGAAATCTAATTCTAGTAAAAAGACCAGACTTAATGGTCTGACTGAGACTGGAGGAACCCCAGAAAGCATGGCCCCTGGACTCTCTGTCAACCCAGAACTAAAACCATTCCTAAGGCCAACTCTTCAGACAAAGCTTAGACTGGACTATGGGACATAAAATGATACTCGTGAAGAGTGTGCTTCCTAGCTGAAGTAGATACATGAGACTAAATGGGCAGCTTCTGTCCAGACGCGAGTTGAGAAGGCAGAAAGGGACAGGAGCTGGTTGAATGGAAGCAGAAATCAGGTGGAAAGGAGGAGTGTGCTGTCATAGTATAGGGAAAGCAACTAGTGTCACATAACAATGTGTGTATAAATTTTTTTTATTGTACTTTAGAGGAAGGTTTACAGAACAAATAAGTTTCTCATTGAACAGTACACATATCGTTTTATGACATTGGTTAACAACTTCACGACATATCAACACTCTCCTTCTTGACCTTGGAGGACCTTTTTTTTTTTTTTTTTTTTTTTGGTGAAAATATACATAGCCAAACTTACACCATTTCAAAAGTTTCTACATGTACAATTCAGTGACATCGATTACATTCTTCCAGTTGTGCTGCTGTTCTCACTATCTTTTTCCAAATTATTCCATCACCATTATCTTCAACTCACTGGCCCCTAGGCTTCCCATCAAACCTTTTGAGTTGCTGTTGTCAATTTGATCTCATGTAGATAATTCTTTTTTTTTTTTTGGTACATTAGATGAAGGTTTGCAGAACAAATAGTTTGATTAAGCAGTTAGTACACATACTGCCCTATGACAATGGTTAACAACCCCATGACATGTCAACACTGTCCCTTCTCATCCTGGGGTTCCCTGTCACCAGCTTTTCTGTCCCCTCCTGCCTTCTAGTCATTGTCCCTGGGCTGCTTTGCCTCATTAGTCCTGTTTTGTTTTATGAGGCTGTCCAGTCCCCGGCTGAATGGTGAACTTCGGGAGTGACTTCACCTCTGAGCTAAAAGGGTGTCCGGGGGCCATACTCATGGTTTCTCCAGTCTGTCAGGCCAGTAAATCTGGTCTTTTTTTTTGTCAGGTAGAATTGTGTGTATAATCTTTTATATGAGGGACTAACTTGAATTGCAAACTTTCACTTAAAATACAACAATAAAATTAAAAAAGCGTTCCTGGTCCCGTTAGTCTGGGTGATACTGGGTTAAAGCAGTGCAGTGCGTTTCTTTCCTGAAGACTTCTCAGGCGCGTATGAGGCCATGGCTTTGAATCCTCCAGGAGGCGATGGTTAACAGTGACAGGAGTGGAGTGACAGCGCAGGTGCCTAAGTAAGCACATTGTGTGTGACAGCCAAGTGTGCAGCACGCCACGCCATTCTAGAGGGGGAGATGGAGGTGAGAGAGGCAGTGGGTCACCCCACATCACACAGGAAGTGAGCGGCAGGCTGGGATACGGTCCCTGGACTGGTCGCACCCCAGGTCCCGTGCTTTCCACCCAGCGCTGTGCTGCGTTTCCCTCCTACCTGTGTGGGGAGCTGTCTGCACCCTTGTCGGGTGAGGGTAGCCTGTGCGTTGCCCCCAGGCGGCAGCGACCTCTTCACCGGAGCCCACACGGAGGACAGACAGGACCTGCTGGGACAGTGTGGGGCCCCTCCTTGGCTCCAGCCTCTTTGCCCCCCACCTGCCCTGGCTCCCCGGCCTCTGGCCCTCGGGATGCCGACCCACAGGCCCTTGTCCCTGCAGCCCGCAGATGACGAGAACAGCGACAACAGCAACGAGTGCGTAGTGTGCCTGTCGGACCTGCGAGACACGCTCATCCTGCCCTGCCGCCACCTCTGCCTTTGCAACTCCTGTGCCGACACCCTGCGCTACCAGGCCAACAATTGTCCCATCTGCCGGCTGCGTGAGTGCCTCCGCGGGTCCCTCAAAACCACGCCTCCGCTCGTGGGGGTGGGATGTGGGCGGGCCCCTCAAAACCACGCCTCCGCTCACTGGGATGCGGGCGGGCCCCTCAAAACCACGCCTCCGCTCGTGGGGGTGGGATGCAGGCGGGCCCCTCAGCCCCGCCTCTGCTTGGGGGCGGTGCGGGCAGGTGGCAGCTTCTAGAAGGAGAGTAGGTCTTGCCACACCAGAGCTGTGCTGGACCAGAGGGCAGTCCTGGGGGGCTGCAGTTTGTTTATTGGCTAAAAAATTCAGTTCATGATGAACTGACACATAGTAATTAACAGCAGAAAACTGATAGCCGTTCCAGTAGCACGTGCTGCGATTCAGATCTCAGAATCTGAGTCCAGGAACGGCGGACTTGTTAGAAATAATGGCCACAAGAGAATGCTTTGGGGACAGACGTCATCCATGAAATTCAGGCGGGACAAAAATTGATCAGTGAATCAAGTTTTTGTTTTAAAGTTTACATGGAATTGAATTTATTTATATATGTACTTTTGCATTTATTTTTGTCGTTGATAATATACACAGCAGAGCATACACCAATTCAGCAATTTCTACATGTACAATTCAGTGACATTGATTACGTTCTTCAAGTTGTACAACCATTCTCACCCTCCGTTTCTGAATCCCACCCCCCCGCCCCATTAACTCACTGCCCCCCAAGGTTCCTGTTTAATCTCTTGGATTGCTGGTGTCAGTTTGATCCCATATAGCTAGTTCTTAAAAGAGCATAATGCTCAAGGTATTCTTTACAGTTAGGCTAAACTGTTGTCTGGTTTAAAGAAGACCTTAGGGGATATTTTTGGTTTAAGGTTTAAATATTATCTCGGGGCAGTAGTTTCAGTGGTTCATCCAGCTTCCATGGCTTCCAGAAAGTCTAGATTCTATGAGAATTTGAAATTCTGTTCTGCAGAAATTAATTTATTTTGACAAGAATTATTGTAAACATGAAAGCAGAAAAACCTGCTGGTATAGAATTGATCTGAGAATTCCGTTTGCTTTATGGAATCCTCCAGAAATTGTCTCAGTGAAGTCATCAAGTTGGGCAGAACTCTGAATACAGTAATTGTCTTCAAATACAGGGGGTCAAACATTCTCAAGGTAGAAAATCCACTGGGTCAAATGAGAATCAGGCTGGTGCCCTTGTGGCCCTGGGCCTGTTGCCTCCTGAGCCCTCCGAGTAGGCTCTGCACCTGTCGCGGGCAGTGCTGGGGGGCTGCCTGCGGCAGCTGCAGGACACTTGTTTCATCTTGGAAACAAGCATGAGTAGGTAAATGATTGCTTTAAAAACAAAGGAATGCCTTCTGCTGTTCTGAAGCCTCGGGGGAGGGTCCCCATCACCAGGGAGCTTGTTGAAAATACTGATGATGCTTCACGCGAGCTTCTGAGCCGGGTGTGGACCTGTACAGGGACGGGGAAGTGCCCAACAGTCTTCCCCGAGCTGTCGAGCCTGCCCCAGCACTGTTCGGGGGCTCAGAAAGGCACTTGCCCGAGGTCGCGTAGTTCAGCAGGGGCAGGTTTTGAACTGGGGTCAGCCCCAGAACCCATGCTCTTGACCCCACGGACTGGCAGCAACGGCACCAGCTTGTCACGTGTTGTCCCTCCCCTTCCCAATGACAGCAGATGGGCTGTGGGAAGGGTGCCTTTGTGTGTGTGCCTGTGTGTATGCATATGCTTATGCGTGTGTGTACACGTGTTTGTGTGTGTGCATATGCTTGTGAATGGATGTTACGCGTGTAAGCTTGTGTATGCCCGTGTGAACGTGCACGTGTGCACGGTGGTGGTTCTTCAGGGGCTCCGGGCAGGCTGAGCGTGTGGATGTGGAGTCTGAGGCAGTGTCATCTAGGGGCTTCCAGAGCTCAGGAGGAAGGCCCAGCTGAGGCGGGACAGGCAGGGCTGGAAGGGGAGGCTGCAGGTGGGTGTGTGCCGGGCCCTGGAGGACAGCAGGCGGGGCACCCCAGAGCTGGATGGACTTTGAGCGGAGAGCAGGATAGTGTGGGGGCTGGCTGAGTTCCTCGGTTAGCTCCCCTGTATTCTACTCGGGTGCAAGGAGACAGGCAAGGGGCAAGGTGTCAGGAAGTGGAGGATCAGGGACTCAGGCCAGGGTGTGTGTGGTGAAGGGTTTCTGTGCCTGGGGAGCAGACGGTCACCTCATGGTCACAGTCACCCTTCTCGTGCAGGACTGCACCATCCTCACAGTCGTTGCTCTGTTTGAGCCCGTTGTTGCAGCCGCTGTGTCGGTCCATCTTGTTGAGGGTCTTCCTCTTTTTCACTGACATTCTGCTCTACCAAGCATGAGGTCCTTCTCCGGAGACTGGTCCCTCCTGATAACATGTCCAAAGTGTGCTCTCTTTGAAGGAGCATTCTGGCTGTCCTTCTGCCAGGACAGATTTGTTCGCGTTCTGTGGTTTTGGATAAACGTGGGGTCATGTGTGCACCTTGCTGCCTCTCCTAAGGAGCTCCCCCCAGGCCTTCCCTGGCCAGCACCGGAGTGGCTGTGTCCCTGTGCTGGGCCATCTCGTTAAGACTTTGTTTGCCTCTGATTTGGAAAGATGGCCTGTCCCAGGAACTTTGCTGCAGGGTGGGAAGGGGTAGGTTGGGTGGTTGGCATCCCCAGAACCTGGAGGGCCTCAGCAGGGCTGGAACGGTTGCCACATACTTGACATGAGCCCCTCCCTTTTGCCACAGCTTTCCGGGCCCTTCTACAGATCCGGGCTGTGCGGAAGAAGCCAGGGGCTCTGTCCCCCGTCTCCTTCAGCCCTGTCCTGGCCCAGAGCGTGGATCATGATGAGCACTCTGTAAGTGCCCTTCCTCCTGCCTGTGTGCTGGTGGGGGCGGGGAGAGCTCTGGAGGGGTCCCACGGGGCCGGGCATGGGGTAAGCAGTGGAGTGTGGCCAGGAAGGAGGCCGGCCCTGGCCTGGCCTTCGGGGCAGCACCAGACAGCACCTGTCAGGCCACTTTGTCCTCATGTCCAGTGGGCAGGTGTGTCCCCCAGGGGTGGCTGAGGGGCCTTAGACGGGCCCACCTATGCACATGGTGGTCCTGCCACCAGGAGGCTGCGGTGGCTGATGATCCCCCTGTCACAAGAAGGAGTGGATGTCAGCCCTGTGTTGCCCAGCGTCCCTCCCCACGCCAAACATGCTGGGGGCTCGTTGGTTCATGACTGAGAAATGCCGTTTTCCCCGTGACAAGCTCTCCTCCAGTGGGCAGCTGGGACACTTCTCTCTCACGCACACCCTGCCCACCCCCCGAGCCGTGGCGGACCACAGGGTGCTCAGAAAATGTCCCCCAGACTTGGTCCACAGACACCTTGACTGTACACCTTGCGTCAGGCAAACCGGGGAGTTAAAATCTGGGTTCCAGAACCTAAAGAGAGAGATGGGCAGAGATGCAGAGAGACACGGAGAGAGACACTCACAGAGATACACAGAGACATACAGAGACACAGAGATGAGAGTAGAAAGGGAGAGACTGAGAGGTGGACAGACAAGACGGACAAGGAGAGGAGATGGAGAGAGACAGAGATACAGCAGCAGAGCAAGACAGAGACAGAATCTGAGTGAGAGATACCGAGACAGACAGACACAGAGACAGATGGGGCCGGCTGCGGGGGGAGAGATGGGTGGGTTGGCAGACGGGGTGTGGGCTGGGGAGTGAGCGAGGAGCTTCTGGAGGACAGTGCCAAGGGCAGAGTGGCCCTGGGTCTGTCCCCACTGGTGTTGTGCCTGGTCAGTGGGTAAGTCTGTCCATCCATCTTCCCGGTGCTCAGATGGGGTGGTTTGGACCAAGGGATTAAGGTGCTCCCAATCCTCTGGGTAGGTGAACCCTAGGACTGTGACTGCTCCCCAGCCCCTCCCCAGAATCCTTTGCTCAGGCTCAGGAGCTGGAGACACCACTGTCAGCGGATGAGGCATGTTCACCCCGTGTGCCTCTGGATCGGGGCCACGTTGAAATCCCCATATTCCCTTCAGGCCTGGATGCCTGACTTCTCTCAATACCTGCAGTTGTAGGCTCGCAGCTGGAGCCAAGGTGCAGTGGCCCTCGGGGTGGGGGGCCCACGCCCCCAGGCCCACCCCCGGCTTCCCCAGGAGCGGTGGGCGCGAGGGCCATCAGCTCCTAAAAGCAGGCCCTTCACCCGTGTCACGTGGGCTCTGGCCTGCACACGTGTGCTCTCCGGCAGCACGGGAACGCCACCTGGGTGGGATTGGCCCATGAAGGAGGAGACGTGGGAGTTACAAGGGTGGCTGCAGTGCTGGCGGTCCCCTCCCGGTCTCTGCCCTGGTGGTCGAACGTCCGTTTCCTCCTGAGCTCTGGGGCCGGCAGCCAGGTGCTCGTTCCCGCCTGTCCTGAGAGTGAGTGAGGAGACCCTCCCCGCAGCCCAGGGCCCAGTCCCAGCCTTCGAGTTCTGCCAGAGGGCAATTTCACAGAGCACCATGAAGAGCTCAGTGAGTCCAGGGACATCATCGTGTGTGGGGCCGCTTTGGGGCTGACGTCTCCCCCAGCTGTCTTGGGGAGTTGGGTGCTGTGATAGGTTTATGAGGTCAAGCTGAGCCCAGTCGTGATGCCCGTTGTTGCAGAGGCACCTTGACTGGTGGCCTCAGTGTCTTTTCGGGCACCCAGCCTGTCTTCCACCCACTTCTGGCTCAGACCGTGGGTGGTGGGTGTTGGGCTCCCTGGGAGCTAGTTAGCAACACAGCCCTGGCCTCACCTGACCTGCGTCAGAACCTGCGTTTGACGAGGTCTGTGCGGTCTGAGTGTGCCTGCGTCGGGGGCCCCGTCCGCCGCGCTCATGCCAAGTGGCGTGGCAGTCGTTGTAAAACGTGTGATTTTTATCTCGACAGTGCCCCTTTAAAAAATCAAAGTCGCACCCTGCCTCACTGGCCAGCAAGAAACCCAAAAGGGAAACAGTAAGTGCTCTTGGTCCCTACGGCTCCGTTTTTTGCCCCGTGCCCTCATTTTTACAAACGACTAAGGACGGGAAGTCATGTTCGCCCCACGCTAACGTGTTCGGTTCATTTAACCTGTCAAATCCGCTCTCCCCAGTCCTGGCGCCCCCGCCCCGGAAGGGAGTTTTGTGGAACAAGCAAAGCTCGCTCAAGGTCTGTAGCCAAAAGGCAGCGCTGTCCCGCCGGCCTCGGCGCCGCCCCTTCCCGCCGGCTTTGCTTCCGCCTCTGGTCCCCTCGAATGGCCTCGTTTCCCTTTTTTTTCTTGCTGGCAGTGGAATGAATGTCGACGGTGGAACTAAAGTTGCTGCTGTTTTTGCAAACGACGCCTCACGCATGCTGTGTGCACTCCCGCGCTCTGCCCGACGACTTTGGTTTTCCCTGCATCTCAGGGAGCAGGCCCAGGGGCCAGGAAGCCTGGGGCCTCCCAGGGGCTCACCTGCCCACACCCCACTGGCCCAGGCAGGCCTGACTCAGCCTGTATTTATATTTTTTCCCTTTCTGGAGGGGCGAGGGGGTCCAGAGTAATTATTCACCTTTCAATTGACGGGCTAGATGAAGGCCTGATAACGCAGGAAGCCCAGCCGACTTGTGGCGGGGAGTGGCTGGCTGAGGCAGGAAGTGCTGGCCCCTGTGCCGGGTCCTTGGCTGCTCTGCCGCCTCCTGGTCAGGCGGCCAGAGCATCGTGGAGGAGGCTCTGGAAACATGGTGCCTCTGCCCTGTCTAGAGAGCGTGGAGGTGGGCGCTGCGCCCGACACCTTCCCCAGTGCTGGGTCTTCCCTCCTCCTTCGCTCAGCCTTGTTGATACGATCCGCTCCCAACGAAGCAATGGGTGAAAACAGTGCTTCTTAACCAGAGGTGTCCACTGGACCCTCCTGGAGTGGCCGTCACCCCTACAGATGCCGCCCTGGCCCACGAAGTGACTTGGGAGCCAGGCTGGACGCCTGTGCTGGTGCAGCCCCGGGGGCCAGGCTCGCCCTGGCCTGGGACCCAGCACCCCTACTGGCCTCTCCTTGGCATGGCTTTGCTCTTCACCTGCTCCTGGTCCCCCTCGCTGTCACTAACCCCTCTCTCACTGTCCCCTCCCTGCAAGGCAGGAACGAGCCAGGGAGGGGCCGGCCAAGGCGAGATAGGGTGGCTCCAGCCCAATGCCCATCTTGCCCTCTATCCTGGGCACCGATGTGGGGCATGTGGGCACCTGGGTGCCATCAGCATGAGTGCCTCCCTTCCCCACGACTTGTGGTTGGGAGTGCCAGGAGCAACCCGGTCCCACCTGTGTCCTCCTCTCAGGATGGGGCAGGGGCTGGCTGGCTTCCCACCTCGGCCGGCTGGAGCTTGTGCCTTTTATCCAAGTTCGGGGCCCACCGCTACCGGCTCAGGGGCCCCAGGCCGGGGAGTCCTTACAGAGCAGCTCAGGAGTGGGGGATTTACGTCCCCAGAAGGTGGCGCAGACAGATTTCCGGAACAGAGGGTTTGGGGAGCAGACCGTGCCTGGGGCTGGGAGCCCAGTGTCTGGGGCTCTGGGTCCCCGGGCAGGGAGCCTGACCAGCCAGCCCTCCTCACCCACCCTTGTCCCCACAGAGTCCTGACAGCGTCCCACCAGGCTACGAGCCCATCTCCCTGCTCGAGGCACTCAATGGCCTGCGGGCCGTCTCCCCTGCCATCCCCTCAGCGCCCCTCTATGAGGAGATCACCTACTCGGGGGGCTCAGACGCCCTGTCCCAGGCCAGCTGCCCGCTTGCTGGGATCAATCCGATCACAGACAGCAGCCATCAGGAGGGCAAGCCACGGAACAGGTCTCCTGACAGGTGAGTCTTCTCCGCCTGGCCCTCACCTGGGTAAGGTGTGTGGGAAGCCACACCCCTGCTCTTCATGGGCCCAGGGAGGGAGGGGAAGTGGGGAGTGTATATGAAGTTTAAATCAGGCTTGTGTGTGGCTTTAAATATTTGTTCCCTTCAGTGATTCACCAGAAGGATTTATGAGATGCGCTGGCGGCTCATACACACAGCTAAGGTTTCCTAGGATGAGGCCCCAGAGGCTCAGTGGTAGAGTTCTCGCCTTCCGTGCAGGAGACCCCTGTTCAGTTCCTGGCCAGTGCACCTCACACGCAGCTGCCACCTGTCTCAGTGGAGTCTTGCGTGCTGCTATGATGCTGAACAGGTTTCGGCGGAGCTTCCAGTCTCAAAGGCCTGGTGATCTCCTTCCAGCCAGTGAGAATGCTGTGGAGCACAACAGTCCGATCTGTAACTGGTCCCAGGGATGGCTCAGGAGCAGGCAGCGTTTCATTCTGTTGTGTGTGGGTCACTGTGAGCCTAGGGCTGACTTGGACAGCAGTTAACAAGGACGGCGGCTTATTATGGCCGAGCACACAGAACAGAAGCAGTGGTGCCTGGTGGAGTGCAGAGGAGTTCCACCCAGGCCACACTGCGGGGACCGCGTGGAATGTCTCCGCCTGGGGAAGGCTGTCTGAGTCTCAGGATCCGAGGACTTTACGAGAAGCACATCCCTCTCTGCAGCCAGCCATGGCAACCATCACACAGGGCCCCGTCACAGAGCCGGGGGCCCATCATCAACCTTGATGCTTGCACAGAGCACGTGGACAGGCCAGCACAGCACAGTCCATTGCTCCAGGCGGTTGTAACAGACTCCTCCATCTTAAACACACAGAACCCAAGGGCCACGTTCCTGGTGGTTGGCCAGGGACCCGTCACGGTTCCCTTGGAGACGCACGGGGAGAGAGGAGGCTGGTTTAACTCATTTCTCACACGTGTGTTAGTTTTTTAAATAGAAAAGTGTCAAGAAGACACATTCTGTAACACACACCCAGGCCCCTCTGTGATTCACACACGAGAGCAAACAATCCAAAGGTACGGAAGAGGTAGGAGGCTTCCTCTGACACTCCTCACCCCGACCCTCTTACCCCAAGGATATACCGTCGGTGATTTCTTTTCTTATTTTGGAAAAAAAAAATTTTAGACTTGTGCCAGCACACACATCGACGGGGCCTTTTTGTCAGTGTGGGTCTGTTTGACCGTCCCCTGACTGCTGGACATCCGGGCTAGCTCGTCGGGGCCCATACACACGCCTCCCCAGTGAGTGTCTTCTCTGTAGATCCTGGCAGGTGTGTGCGAGGCCACGGCGGTGGAGCCTTGGCACAGGAGCTGCTGGCCCCAGTGTTGTCGTCAGAGGGCTTGATGCTGCTTGTCCAGTTGTCCTCCGCGCCCACCCTCACTCTCTGTCTGTGTCCCTAGTACCCTGCGGTCCCCATCGTCCCCCATCCGCGAAGAGGACGAAGAGAAGCTCTCAGAGGACTCGGACGCCCCTCCCCCGCTGAGTGGCCGGGACCTGGCTCTGCGGAAAAGCAGCTCCCCTGAGGTGAGGCCCTGCCGGCTCCCTGCC